ATATATATATATATATATATATATATATTTTTTTTAAATAATTTACCATTATAAAAAATGAAAATGGGCCATCCTAAAAAAGGAGTAAGGCCTTGGGCTTTACAGAAACATAAGATAGGTACAAAAAGGAGAAACGGAAAAAACAGATCCATCACCGGAGGAGTGGATCGGAACCTGCTGACGACCGGAGGCAGAGATTTGAATGGTAGAACCAGCAAACACAACCCCCACAGCTTTGCGGCAAAGCCACTGGATCAGATCCGTCGACGGAAGCGTTTGATTTCTATGTCCGGCTCCTTCCCGATGACCCACCTAACCCGCCACAGAAATCCCGGACCGCTTAAATCCCCGACAACCGGCTCTACCGGAGTTATGTCCCGTACCTAGCAACCTAACCCACTGGGTTCTAACACCACTCCTCTAGATCAAGCGTCCTCCGCAACTCCGAGCAAGATCAAATCAATCCGGTCCGGCGGATGCTAACAACGCGACGGTTTACATAAGCTGGTGGCTCAAATAGCCTCCATAAACCGGAACTCACGAGCGCCCTCTAGGAATCCAAATAGATTCCGCAGTTAACCGCCAAAACAAAAAGCGTAACCCTCCGTTCTCCCACCGACTTCCGCCGCGAACCGCAGCTACCAAATTGGAATATTTGGTTCCTTTTGTGGAGAAGGAACTCCATCTTACAACTAAGAAAGCAAAAAAGTTGGTGGTGAAAGATCTAAACGGTTACAATCTTGAATACAATGTGATTGGAGGCGGTGGTAAAATTTATTTGGTTGATTTGAGAAGCAAAACATGCTGTTGTAGAAGGCTTCAGTGTCCTTTCCGGTGCCAACCTACATTTCTTCTTAGCACACTTCTTAAACTTCTACTTTTTTACTATCTTTCCACCGGTTTCCTTTTCACCAACCATCTCTAAGTCAGCCGCCTCATCATCCCTAGTTTTCTTCCCACCAACAGAGTCATCATCAAGTGTATCATCACCTCCAACAGCCGGCTCAACATTCTTCTCAAAACCAAACTCATCATCAAGTGTATCATCACCAATCTTCTCAAAACCACCTCCAACAGCTGGCTCAACACTCTTCTCAAACCAAGCTGCCTAATCCCAATCAGTCCTCAAATCTTGTGTCTTCTCACTTGTTTCTTCTTCTTCTCCATCTTTTCCTTTAGCTTTCCTTGCCTCAGCTGCCCTTTCAAGCTTCTCCAATCTAGTACTCAAGTCTTCTGTCTTCTCACTTGTTTCTGCTTCTTATCCATCTTTCCTTGTTTTCGCTACCCTTTCAAGCTTCTCCAATCTCAGATACATATCTTTCATACCTTCTGCAACCGCTGTTTTCATCATTCTCTTTACCAAATAAGGTGCCAGCAGCTCCTCCTCCTTTTGTTCAGCTGCTAGAACATTTTGTTGCGGCTCTTCCATATGTTCAGCAGCTTGATTATGTCCCTCTCCACATCCTCGATAATCAACATCCATCTTATGAAGATCCTCCCAACAAATCTTCTTCTGTTGTACATCGAGACGCTCAGTCCATGCATCAGCAATAGGGTCCAATTAATCCTCAGCTTCAGCTCGCTCCATAATGTCCAGCAAAAGAGCTTCCTCAGCCGCTGGTGGTTTCATAATACTAATGATGTCCTGCAAAGAACAAGAAAACAGAGGTTAACACATTCATACATAAACACATTCATACATAAAGATAGAGTGAAAAACCTGTCATTCATATATAAATTAGTTCTTACCTTAGTTGTTCCTAGCGCTTGGTTGACTTCTTCAAGTGGAAAACCTGTCATTCCATTGTCTTTAAATTTCTTCTTGCACATCCGTGGACATCCATCATTTGCGCCTATTACACCTTCTTGAAATTGTTTGGATAGCTCAGGAATGCATTGAAACGCCAAAACCTATACACATTCACACAATCACATATCTTAAAGAATCCAAAACAGTTATACTTATTGTAGAGAAATACAGAATTTTACCTCAAGAGGAACTATGAACCCTCCAAACAAATGGTCAACTTTCACTTTGCCATTTAACCGCTTCTTCATCAAGTGATCAATTTGGTTCATAGTGTCTTCAAAAGTAATCCGCCCCCAAGGAAACTTTTTTACCTCTTCCAAATCATTCACTATCTTTAGAACAAATGGATGTATGCTATTGAATCTTCTCCCTCCTTTTACTATCGTGCATTAGAAGAGTAAGACAGCCACATGCAATCGATCTCAGCCACCTGCAATCGATCTCCACCACACGCATCTTCCATTGATTGCAGCATCTTTTTCACATCACTCACTGTTACACCTCTTGTTCCAAAGACCCTCTCCACAAAGTAATAGCTACCAAAACTGCTTGCATTATAATCTGATACATAGTCCCTACAATCAAATCCAGTGATCAAAGCTTGTTCTTTCATCGAGTAGCGTATTGGAACGCCATTCACCACAAACCAGCTTTCCCTCTTCTTCTGTGTTGAAGCAGTCCGCATAAGGAGCAACAACATACCCTGCAGCTTATTTTTCCCTTTCCTAACCAAGTGAAAGACGTGCTTGAACTACTTGTCATCTCTAAACCACTTCATTTCTGTGTCGTTGAGCTTCCCACTTATGGCAGCCACCGTGTTACCAATGGTACACCTTGTTGATATCTTCAAAGTCTTTACATACTCCTCGGGACTAAAGAAAAAACTCTCAGGTTGAAGAGGTGAAGAATTATCCTCTTCCATCTCCTCTATTTCCTACAATACATCAATTTTACATGTTAGAGAAGTGCCACATCATAGTTGTACGTATAGGTACTCTGTTGTACAATTCAAAATTAAACATGTTTACACTGATTACCTCATGGTCAGAGACATCATTCGCAGAAGCCGATGCGTCCCCTTGATCTTCCACTACATCATCCACTACAGCGGGTATCTCTGATTGGTTTGGATCAGATTGCTTTAGTCTTTTGGATCTTCTAGGAGAAGATAATCTTTCCCTTGTAGAACTAGATCCTCCTTCTCTAGTAGTAGTCATTGTGATTAGTACCTGCAACAACACATGATATTCAATATCAAACATTCAAAGGCTAAACAATCTCATAATCTTTAGTTTTTAACTCATTTCATAGACCATCTATACGGAACAAATTCATCAAATCCGAATTGTAATCATACAACTAGTCACAATGGCTATTAACAGAGGCAATTTCAAATCAAAATTGTAATTCAAATTCAAATTGAAACCAAAAAAATTCAGATTATAATCATAAAAAAACAACAAATTCAATCGAAAACTCATCCATAATCCATCTATTTCAAACAAAATCAAACTTTAATTAAACCAAAATCCAATTAAACCTAACGCAACACAATCAATCGAAGGATCCTTATTAAACCCTCAAACAAAAGAAAAAAAACCAAATTCAATCGAAAACCCATTCATAATCCATCTGTTTCAAACAAAATCAAACCTTTATTATACCCAACACAACACAATCAATCTGACTCGAACCCTATTCAACTTGTAATTATGGTGTTACCCTTGAACGATTTTTTTTCATTTACTCTTCGAATGTAATATTTCCAATGGCATTCCTTGTAATATCTTACAACTTTAAGGTCTTTTCTTATCTAGTGATTCCCAATTAATAGTATAGATATGTGGATTGGATTTTGAAGTCCAATGCTTATACGTGGGGGTAAACATGGGATTTTGAAATACTTGATAAAATGCTCGGATTGTTTTTGTTCATGTTTATGAGTAAAAATACATTCAAATCTAAAATAAACAAATCAAATGAACATTGAATAACGATTGTTTTTAATTTATTTTAGAATACATCAAACAAATAATAATCCACTAACAGCAGAATTTTAACATACTTTTGCAAATACATAATTAAATAACACTTGATTTCAAAATCCATTAAAAAACCTCAATCTAATAACACCCGCTAAATTTTTCAATCTATGAAGAATTAAATGTAACAGATCAAAAATTCAGACTTGAGTAATATATTCATATCTAATAGTTTGTTCCGTATTCACATGAATTCTACTGCGTGATTAAATGTGATAATTTATTGATCTTAACCATATACACTGTCTATCATTTTGTAAAGAGCAACGATTTGACCATATGATTCGAGGAAGGGACCACAAATGTCAGTTTTTGAGAACGCCAACGATCTAGCGGTGTTTCGAAAGGACCAAAAGCTCAAATATCTCTTCTAGTCAAAAATTTCCAAAATATACCTTTTAAAAGATTTTTTTTTTCTTGTATCCAAAAACTATTTTTACTATTGATAATATTACCTTACAACAAATAAATTTCACTGTCTAGTAAATAAAGGATTTATACATGTCCCTCAACAAGAGCTCAAATATCTCTCCTCAACAAATTATCCCAAATGTACCGTTTAAAGCGGTTTGTGCAAATAAAGAGTCCCCAACTCGTTAATTTTTGTAATTTTACCTTTCACCTCCAAAAAAATGCAAATTAATCATACACAGTCAAAAGTAATACATAATGTAACTTTTTTTCGCTACTGTCAAATTCGTAAAAGTTTTGTGAATAATATATCAAATTGAAACCACACGATAATGAGTTTAATTGTACTTTTTAAAAAGTAAAAATTTAGTATATCTGACCGTGATGAAAACATTTACATTCTCGAAAACGTCCTAAATATAAAACAAAAAAATGCATGTTAATAAATTTTTTAGATGTTTAGAAAAATATATCCGAACCAAGATTTTTGTCACAACGGACCGGTCCAAGAACCCATTTATCCCACAAACGGACCGGTCCAATAACCCATTTACCACAGTCTTTTAAAGTGGGCTAAAAGGCGCTTCTTGTTCACAGGAGAAAGGTCTATATTCCAAAAAGTACAATTTTCCAATAATAATTTTCCGACTATCAATCAATCATTCTGATTTGTGGTCTGGTCCGGTTTGATCCGAATTTACAAAAACTATTTCAATTAATTTTAGATTTTTTTGTTTTTTTTTTTCCATTACCGTCATCTAACAAAGAAAACAACACGAATTTTCCTGAGACGGAAAAGAAACAGAACACGAATTTTCAAAGTTTTCCACACGATGTCTTCCATGAGATCGTTACCACGTCCCTAACTCTCCTCCTTCAGACAAAATACTTTTAGTCTTCTTTCTTTGGTATACTTGTCTGAAAACAAAATAAATCTTTGTTTTCGGTCAAACTGATTCATATACTGTACAGTCAAGTCAAAGCTACAAGATCGTGTTCCAGGTTTTGGTCTTCTCTTCCTTAACTTTTCTGGGTTTTCTCTAAATTGGTCTCGTCTACAAGTTCCAATCAAAAAGTTTTCTTCTTTAATTTTGCTTAATTGATTTCTCGTTTTCTTTCTTTTCTTGGAAACCTTTTATTTCGGAAATTGAGAGTTTATTTAGGGTTTAGGTGATGTTGGAATCTCTTACTAGATCTTTGCTTTAGTTTAGTTGGTATTGAAATGGAACCCTAATGTTGGAAGTTTTCTAAAGCTGAGTTTTTGTTTCTACAGGTTTAGAGAAAATCTTCTGAACTCTAAGATTCTCATAATTGAGTTTATAAATGGTTTATTGAAGCTGAGTCTTTTCTATTTTGAGTATTTTGTTGATATAAACAAAATTATGGGTGGAGATGATTTGAGCTTCACAAGATTGGTGTGTACTGCTTTGTTTGGTCTGTTAATGTTATTGCAAATCAAGGAAACTTCTGCATCAGCATCCTTTGTAAGCTCGAGCGTTTGTCGGTCTGATCACTTGACCTACACAAAGCCTTATCAACAAGGGAGTTTGTTCACAATTAACGGGAATCCAGTGGAGAAAGTCCGGTTTTGCGAAGCCTTACGGTTTCACAAAGCCAATGGTTGTATCTTTGGGGATTCTTTCAGTGATGACTTCTGCACAGTTCACTATCTACTAGGTTGGCTCTATTGATCGGTTACGCCAAATTATATATAGTAACTGAATTCGGTTATGTGCGACATTGATCAGCTTCTGGTTTTATGCAGGGAGAAGGTTTTTGGAAGAGAAATCTGTAAAAGATTCCAAAAATAGTAAGCCTAAATCTGAATATAGCCATGTTAAAGTCAGCATGGCAGGAAGCGGGTTTCTTCTCTTGTTTTGCGGGCTTTGTTGTCCTTGCTTCCATAAGGAGAGGAAAGCAAATAGTCATGAAGTTCTACCTAAAGAATCTAACTCAGGTGACTAAGTGTCTCTCACATTTATCTTTCTTTTGTAACTGTTAAGCTATGAAATAACATTTGACATTGGAGCTCATGTATATCCTATCACAGTGCACCAAGTTTCCTCTTCTGAAATGAGCCCTTCTTCTGAGAAGATTCCGCCTAGTCCATTCCGGGCACCACCAAGTCCGTCCCGTGTACCGCAAAGTCCATCTAGATATGCTATGTCCCCGAGGCCTAGTAGACTGGGACCCTTGAATCTGTCCATGAGTCAGATTAATGCAGCAACCAGCAATTTCTCAGACACTCATCAAATCGGTGAAGGAGGCTTTGGGGTAGTCTATAAAGGCTTCCTAGATGACGGCCAGGTGGTTGCCATAAAACGAGCAAAAAAGGTACTTTTATAATTCTGTAGCTTCAATTTTCTTATGGTATCAAATTTGTAGTAAAGTTTATTTAGTCATGTCCTATAATGTTGATAGAGACAATGTTGACAGAGGCTAATAATAGAACCTTTACATGATCAAGCGTAACTTTTTCGGTATTAGAGTTCCAAAGGCGCTTTGGTCTTGTAGTGTTAGGAAATCAAGTTCTCACACTAATTATATGTTGTTTAGTCTTACTAAGTAATGGTGCTTTGTGACTCCAAGATTAGGACTCGAACTAGATATCTATTCTCGGTTTTTTAATCTTGAAGATTAACTATCATTTATACTAATACAGTGCCATTGAGACCTTAATCACTGCACTATCTGAACTAATTAGCAAAATACTCCTCAAGTGTTTTCAATATGTAGATTATACTTTTCATGTAGGAACACTTTGAGAATCTGCGAACGGAATTTAAAAGTGAAGTTGACCTTTTGTCTAAAATTGGTCACCGGAATCTAGTGAAGCTTCTTGGTTATGTTGATAAAGGAGACGAGCGACTTATCATAACCGAGTATGTCAGAAATGGTACACTCCGCGATCACTTGGATGGTAAGAACTTGTTCAAATCTTCCCAAGCTTGTCGCGGCTATAATAACATAGGAACAAATAATAAAGGCTCATTTGTTATTGCAGGTGCTCGTGGAACTAAACTTAATTTCAATCAGAGGTTGGAGATTGTGATTGATGTCTGCCATGGATTGACTTATCTCCATTCTTATGCAGGTAGAGAATGTTGTACTTAATTATTTTTTGGAGAGTAGGGATCTTATTTGAGATTTTACGATTCTTTTTTCTTTGAAACAGAAAGACAGATAATCCACCGTGACATAAAATCCTCAAACATTCTACTGACGGATAGCATGAGAGCCAAAGTGGCAGACTTCGGGTTTGCAAGAGGCGGTCCTACTGACTCGAACCAGACCCACATTTTAACTCAAGTGAAAGGAACCGTTGGTTATCTCGATCCTGAGTACATGAGGACTTATCAGCTCACTGCCAAAAGCGATGTTTACTCGTTCGGGATTTTGCTTGTGGAGATACTCACAGGCCGTCGTCCAGTGGAGGCCAAGCGACCTCATGATGAGAAGATTACGGTTCGATGGGTAAGCCACTTAATAATGTTTCTTCTCCAACTTGCATCATCCATTACTAAATCGACTTTGCGGGCATTTCAAAAATTATGGCAGGCATTCGACAAGTACAATGAAGGGAGAGTTTTTGAACTGGTGGATCCAAACGCGAGGGAACGAGTAGATGAGAAGATACTAAGAAAGATGTTTAGTTTGGCATTTCAATGTGCTGCTCCTACCAAAAAAGAGCGGCCGGACATGGAAGCTGTTGGGAAGCAGCTTTGGGCTATAAGATCAAGTTATCTCAGGCGGTCAATGGAATAAAACATAATAAATGATTTTTCACACGTCACAACACCAAATGCTATAGTCTCTCTGTTGTTAGATAATATTACCTCTTTTACATTTTGCTATCAAACCACTTCTTCGTCAGATTTGAAATGAGATGTCTTATTCATCACTTGAGATTCTGAATGACACATGAACAAATTCGTTGAACTCGACTTCTGTGTTAAAGATGTGAACTCTATATGTGCATTCACGTCAATAGGTGTGAGCAAAAAAACCACAACTCAAAAGATTGAACCGCCAACTTACAAATAAGTTAAACCGAAACTTAACCGAAATATTTATAAACCGTTGTCTCATTATTCTTGAATCCGAAATTTTTTGAAACAGAGACCATATTTGTGTAACCATACCGAACTGAACAGAATAAACCAAAATTTTATAACTGTAGAAAAATAGGTAACAAAGAATAGATTTTATTACTATTATTTTTTTAGACTTGAAAGTTAAATATAAGTAACAAAGAATATAGATGAATCTACTTATACAATTATCATATATTCAAATTTATGATTAGTGACCTCAATTGTTGTATTTGAACCGCTTATACAACTGTCGAAATTAAAATAATGCATATCCAGAATTTGAAAACTTACAAAAAATTTTGATTATTTTATGACAAATTTATAGAGGATGCTACAATAATTTAGTTTAAGAACATAACATAACATTTTTTATATAAAAATGTTAGTAATGAGTTCTAACAAAAATTGGTTTCCGACTTTCAAGTTGAGAAACCTTCATTGTTTCCTAGTTTTTGAGTATTTCGAGTCTGCGATTCTCAAAACTAAGGTAACGTTTACAACGAACGTCACAAATATCTAGATAATAACTAATCATTATTTTTCCGAATTGCTCGTGGAAGTATTATTGACGCACCATGATCTTGATTGTGGCAAGTTGCTCCATCGCTCTTATCTTTGAGCTACGGATCTATCTTGAATTATGAGGCTTCTCTTTTCTACTTTTTTTGTAATAAACTTTATCTATATTAATCTTTTTGTATCCAAACACGAAGTTGAAGAATTTGTAAGCTTTGCTCCATTTTGGGGTTGAATGAAATCAAGTATTTCTTTGTGCAAAATAAAAACATAAAAAAGTACTAACAAAAATTTATTTCAGAAAGAACACTAAAATTATATATTTTATATTATCTTATATATATATATATGTGTGTAAATTTACATGATTATCAATTATATTTACATAAACATTTTTTTAAAAAATATGATTATATTTTCTTATCTTATTTTGTTATTTTTACATTAATTTTATTACAACCAAACCAATACGTAATTTTACAACTGACAACATATTTTTAGGCTAGCATACGTTATGTAATGACGATTCCAGCCCCAACACCCATTCGGACACGGTTTTGATCTTCTTGGTGGATTTAGAATTATCCCAAACCATACATAAACCGGTTCATGGCGAATTATTGATCAAATCTGGTTTATTCCCAACGTTTTTCCACTTGTAAACCTGATCATTCGACCAGGTGCTTGTAATCCAGTTAATTTTTGCAAATGATCTTCTAATCCACTATAAATTATGCAAGTCGATTTATTTTTGCTTTCATTATTTTTTAAGGTTCGAAACTGAAATCTAAATGTTAATATATAAAGCTAGGTTGATGCGTATAAAATTTAATATAGAAGTCGACATTTGAACTGAATCCTATTTTTTGTATACACAACATTAATAACAACACTAAACAAAAATCGAAATTAACTTTGAATCAAACAAAACAATTATTAAATTAATATTAAAAGTGGACCTAAGTTTAACTGAATCGATTTAAACCTAATCAAACCATATAAGTTTTGTTTCTAAACCGGTTTACCTAACAAAAAGGAGCATCCATGTCATAATTCTTTTATTTTTAAAAAGTCAAGTTGTTTTAAGTACTTAAAAAAGATCCGAATCATTATATCCGAAGATTCCGAAACCAAAGGCGGATCCGACGGCTCCAAGCTGCCTTATTCTCTTGTTACTCTACCACTAAATTAAACCCCACATAAAACAATAAAGACACGAAATATAAATACATAAGCAAAACTATAGGAACACAGAAGGAAAGAAAAAAGAATAATTCCAGCATCATTCCTCAAATAATTTAAAGAAGCAACTTGGTCTTCCATTTTTTTTGCTTCAAAAATTTTAAAACCCCAAAAGAGCTTAGAAATTTTTTACATAAAGATCACCAACCAGCCACATAGAAACACAACCATCGGTCTTCTTCTTATTCTTTCTTCAATACCAAATAGTCATGATGAAAGTGGTGTCACCTCGTACACGGTCGGATTCAATCACTGAGAAGGTGTTCCGACGTGTCTATAGCAATTTTAATATCTCAACGGTCGAAGATGAGTATATCCATCGTCAGAGATCAAGTGATTACGAGAAGGAGAGTCGTCTAAGAAAGAGAGGGTTAGAAGAAAAAGAAGAAGTTATGGAGATGGAGCAGATGGGAGCAGAGAGGATCAAAACTGTTCTTATTCTCATGAGTGACACCGGCGGTGGCCACCGTGCTTCCGCCGAGGCCATCCGTGACGCTTTCAAGATCGAATTCGGAGATGACTATCGGGTAAAATATGAATATTTTAAATTATTTATATCTTTGTCTTGAATCCAACGCATATGATTGGAGCCAATTACAGGCTTCCTAAACCATATAACCTATATAAAAAAATGAAAAAAAAAAAAAAGATTACATAAGCTACAAAACGCAGCCATAGTTGTAACTTCTAGATTCTGTTTAAACTTTAAAAGAAGAAAAACATTTTGAAGTGTTCATTTAGAAATTTTCAAAGCTGGTAATATATACGGATATATCCTCGAAAAATATATATTTATATTGACATATTTTCCAATAGATTATGTTAAAATATATCATAGAGGAGTTTCTGATTCTAATGATTCTCAGCCGTCAATATTAAAGCTGTCGCAGTGGTCGTCTTGAATTTGAAAAAGAAAAGAAAGAAAAGAAAGAAAAAGAAACAAACAAATATCTACTTGGAAGTTTTGTAGCCTAGTGTGAATCTTGGAGTTTGCCAGGGTGTCGGAGATACGAGCTGATGTCAACATTTTATGTCTTAAAACCTGTCCCACGTTCCTTTTTTTCTTTGTCAATAATGATTAAAAATTTGCATTATTTATTTATTTCTCTAGTTGTGGCTCTTTGATGTTACAAATGTTTCTCTAGGTACTAATGTTCTTTATTGTTATATATAGATAATCATAAAAGATGTATGGAAAGAATACACTGGATGGCCATTGAACGACATGGAGAGACAGTACAAATTCATGGTAAAACATGTTGGTCTTTGGTCAGTCGCGTTTCATGGTACCTCTCCCAAATGGATCCACAAAAGTTATCTAAGTGCTCTCGCCGCTTATTATGCCAAGTACTTATATGTTAACCTTCTTTATTTTCGTTATGATCCCTTAGTATAACGAATTAGCAATATAATGGAGATTATTCTTCTTTTGGTGAACAGAGAAATAGAGGCTGGTTTAATGGAGTACAAACCGGATATTATTATTAGCGTACACCCTTTGATGCAACACATACCATTGTGGGTAATGAAATGGCAAGGACTTCATAAGAAAGTCATTTTCGTGACGGTCATCACTGATCTAAATACTTGCCACCGTACATGGTAAGATGATGTTTAATACTTATATACTATCTGTATTTGTATAAGTACCTAAAATCAGTTTAATCCACACCTCAACAGGTTAATCCTTTCATGTTTACTCTCATGACTTTTCATTTAATAAACATAGATGATATATATGCGATGTTTAAAATATAAACTTATAGCTCAAAATGATATCTTTTATTTTGATGTATAATAGGTTCCACCATGGAGTCAGCAGATGTTATTGTCCTTCCAAAGAGGTTGCAAAGAGAGCATTAGTAGACGGCCTTGATGACTCTCAAATTCGTGTCTTTGGCTTACCCGTCCGCCCATCTTTCCCTCGTACAATTATCTACAAGGTAAGTTCTGTCCAATTCATACCATTTAGAGAAAAAATTTTTCAATCAACAGAAGATCAACAATATCTATTATTATGTGTTTTTTTAGGATGAACTAAGGAGAGAGCTTGAAATAGACTTAAATTTACCTGCGGTTCTATTAATGGGAGGTGGTGAAGGAATGGGTCCGGTTCAAAAAACTGCTCTAGCCCTTGGAGATGCTTTATACAACTCTAAAGAAAGAAATCCAATAGGACAATTGATTGTCATATGCGGCCGGAACAAAGTCCTGGCTTCAGCATTAGCGTCCCATGAATGGAAGATTCCGGTCAAGGTACAAACTAAAATGTGAAATTTTTACTTACTACTATATACTTACTTATAGAGCATGTGATTACTAATATATATTTGTGACGTTTATAGGTTCGTGGGTTTGAAACACAAATGGAAAAATGGATGGGAGCTTGTGATTGTATCATCACAAAGGTAAGTCGTATCTTTGAATCCTCTATACCGGTAAATACTACTTATGATTTATATCAGAATTAAGTTTAACAAGTGTTTATGACATCAAACAGGCCGGTCCAGGTACGATTGCAGAGGCATTGATTTGTGGTCTCCCAATTATCCTCAATGACTATATTCCTGGACAGGTATACATATACACTCTTTTGCTTCACCTTTGGGGTTAATCGGCCATCATTAGTCCATAAACTAACTCTTTTGAATGTAACTCCCAAAGGAAAAAGGCAACGTGCCGTATGTTGTGGACAATGGAGCTGGAGTTTTCACCCGAAGTCCCAAAGAAACTGCGAAAATTGTGGCTAATTGGTTTAGCAACAATAAAGAGGAACTAAAGAAAATGTCAGAGAATGCTCTTAAGTTGGCGCAACCTGAGGCCGTGTTCGACATCGTGAAAGATATCCATCATCTATCCCAACAACAACAACAACGTATTCCACTTTTTAATGATTTTTCGTATTGACGTCTTCTTTGTTAGACTGTAGGTTTCTCTTATTTCATGATTCTTATCAATGTGTATTGTCTAGTGCTTTGTTATTCTTTGATCAACCTTTTTTTTTTAACATTTATAATATGTATGAGCATCACATTTTAAATTATTTTCATTGTGCTTTAATGAATTAGGTTTTGAGTATTCATTCCTTGGTGTTACAAGGTACTTGCTTCCTTATGAATTTATTTGAAACTTTGTAAATTTAAAGTTTCACTCTTGTAATTGGAACAACTTCTTATGGCTAGAGAAAAAAAAATCCCCATACAAGATTCACTTGAATTTCATCAATTTTTTTCAAACATGACAATGTAATTACTAAGTAGCAATCAACTCATCAAATATGAAGGAAATTAAGCCTAATTACTTACTAATCGTTTTGTTTTTTTGGGCAACATCCTAATTACTTACTTCAATCATCAATTTTTACAGTTTAGCCTACCAAGTACCATACAAAGAATGATCAATTGTACGAAATATGTTTTTTTTTATAACTTTATTCATGAATATAAACTTTTTAAAAGCTGTCTAAATAAATAACTTTTTACGGATATAATATTTGTTCACCATTGTTAATACCAAAGTCTGTAAAATCAAACACACATCTTTAAAAACATAACAATAAGGACTCGAACCCGAGTAAAGAATTACATAGTCATACCTATACTTACGCTACTTGAACTTTTGACTACTATGTTCGCCTATATTCTTATATAGCATATCTATGGATATAAAATCATAATTTCTTCTTAATTTTCTGTAATGCCTAGTTCCCGAGTAACCCATGCCTCAATCGTCTAGGCGTTAGTTGACTGTCCATATAGCGCCTACCTATTTTTAAAACATTGTGTATGTCCATTACATTTTAAATTATTATCATCACGCAGCGTAATATTCTATTTTTTTTAGAAATCTCATAAATATCTTTTCAATATTTACTTTTACTGTATATCTTATGGGCTAAATTTCAGCTAATTCCGTATACATTTATTCATTTCTTGGTGTTCCAAAATTCTTACATATGACTTGTTTGAGACTACTAGTTAAAAGTTTCACTCTCCTAATTAGAACAACTTCTTATGTCTAGAGAAAAAAAACACCCATACAAGATTCACTTGAACATTTCATCAATCATTTCAAACATGACAAGGTAATTAGGCTTAATTAGCAATCAAACTCATCAAATATGATGGAAATTAAGCCAGATTACTAATCAATCACTAATTTTTCACAATTTAGCCTACCTAAGATTCCACCAAAGAATTTTACCAAAAAAGAAAGATTCCACCAAAGAACATCTAATCTCTTACTAATAAAAGATGCAATTTGAAGCTTCTCAACCTAGCCACCTTAGCAAAACGAAACTATCTAAGAGAGAGCCACGTCAGCCACTCATTCCAAACATTAATACTGGCTACATTAATAAGTATATAGCAAGTAGCAACTACACTAACATTTTAAATTACTCGAGTGAAAAAAAAAGAAATTCAAATATTTTCCACGCAAGAAAAAAAATAAAATTAAAAATACAGCCCAAGAGACAAATAATAACCCACATCAATTAAGGGTTACGGTAGTCTTCTTCTTCATTGTATAACCATGACAACACGCAAAGATCAACCGATTAATCTTCCACTACCGTTACCACTTCGTCTTCTTAATTGCCCACTTATTCTTCTCAATTCAATGATTTAAATTGCCACTCAGTGGCGGATCTAGAATAAGTTTCTAATGGAGTCATTATATTGTATGAATAGAAGAATAGAGAATTGAAACTATGTTAATGGGGTCAACTCAAGAAATTTTAACCATTTTCTCTAATTTTTTCTTAATTTTTACTAACAAATTTTTCAAAATATAAAAGTTATTGGGGTCAGTTGACCCCACTCCCACCAACGTAGCTCCGCCACTGTTGCCACTACAATCATCATTCATGGCCTCTCTTTCGAAAGCTTATAAGTATGTGTTTGTAATGAAACCATAATTGCCCTGAGTGAAATATATTCGAAACCTTTTCCTGATTTTTTCCTTACAATTCTTTAACTGACGTTGTTCATATTCTTTTCTTAAATATTAACGCATTTGCAGTTGTTATGTGAGTGTTGAAGTCGCTGAGGTTGTACGGTGAGGGAAGAGGAATCGTACGGTGAGTGTTATGTCTAATATTTTCCATGGATCTCAAATCATCTACCGGAAATTTGGATCATGCTAAGCCAAGTGAAAGAGAGATGGGGGTTTACACTATGGTTTGCTTTTAATTTCATTTTTTTTGTTTAGTATACAAAGGCGCAAAAGATATGCGGACATTTAAGGATAATGCCTACGGGGAAAAGGAAGCCAGGTAGAGAGCTGTTGAAACTGCCAAAGCAACATGAAAAGAACACTGGTGGTAGGAGTTGTATGTAGATATTGCAAGAAAGTGTTCCACTACATGAAACTATAAAAGGTACTATCAAAAGCCTTTACTTGCATTTATCAATTCATCTTGCTAAACTCTTTCAATCCTATTTCACTTTGTTATCTCTCATAATGTGTCTCAAATGTTGTTCCTGAACTTTTGATAACCAGCTTTGCAATTAATATATGTTAGTTATCCTATCTTCGTTTCCATTCCGATGGTTGTGTATTCTAGGTCGTAGTCACACCATAACTTACATGTAATCTGTTTTCCATTCATCATTAGGTACCGCAGATGGAAAATATGGCAAGAATGTACATAGTCTGGCTTAACACATAACTTAGAATGAAACTCCACTTTTCTCGGTACGACCAAATGAGAATGAGAGAGCCATCAATCCAACGATTGGATGCGCAATGTCTATGGATCTTGACCTCTTAATTAAGGAATCGATACTCACATTATAGCTTTAGTGGTTAATCACCAATTTAATCCCTTTGGTTTTCAAGGCGACTAATACTAACCACAAGACGTAACATATATAACCACACTATTATTATCAAGTGTATAGAAAGGCACTACACTATTATTATTAAGTATTTGTGTTCCTTTTATGATAATCTAATAAGATCGATTTGATGTTGCAGGCAATACATTGTGTAGCCGGAAATTGGAACATAAATGAGAATGCAACGCTTTGCCTTATGTGAAACGTTGGGCTTTATGCACTTGGCAAAGAGATTAGAGAGGCATCAATTGTCAATTTGTCATATTTTCAAAGGATAGTAAAGAGAAGTGTGGATTATACGCTCCATTATTATGTTGAAGATGGTACGGATATGATTTCAATGTTGCCAATTATGGTTTACGGTTCATAATATATTGGCTTATGTAGGTTTTTATCATAGTGTGTGTGGTATAATACTTCAATGTTGATTTTGTGTGTTTAAAGATGATATTTCCAAACTCATAAGGTCTTGATGGTTTCATTTCCAATAATTTACTCTTCCATCATGATAATGAAACTAAAATATCTTTTTCACGGAATTTAACAAAGCCAAAATATTTTATCAAAATAGTAACACTCATTGTATAACCATTCAAATTTCACTTTACCAGTGATATCTTAGGTATATATCATTACTGTGGATGTAGGATTCACACTCGATTATCTTTAAGTATTTTTGTGGAGAAAAACTCTTGTTAAATCATGAAGTAAATACGAGAATTTGAAATGGAAAACAACCAAGAAAAGGAGTAAAAAAATTTGTCGAAAGATGAAGTACAAAATGCCTTGCAAAAAATAGTAAAGAGAGAAAAATGTATTGTATTGCTTAGAAGTAATGAATAATGAGATTCCCCCCCCCTCTCAAACACATGCGTTTGAGGTTGTTTTTATAGAGAAAACATGATCAATGCGGTCATTTACTGCTCATAATTGCATTGATCCGCATTAATCATGTAAGTTACATTTTGACCGAAACGGCTTGAATTTGAACTATCTTTGGGCTTCGTGTGGATCTTCCGAACTCTTTCTTGTTGACTCCGAACTCCTGCGTCTTGACGCTGCCGCGAGCCTCGAACAATATTCTCCTCACTTCGGCCTTTCTCTATGCGAACTGTATGTTGAAATAAGAGCGAACTCCGTACTAGTAAAGATCGAACTCTTTTTATAAACTGAATCGAACTCCCGACTGGTTAAGCTCGATTCTCATAATAAAATATCTTTAATTCCAAGAGGATTATTATGTAATAATGACGTGGACAGATCCAAGTGGATCCTACCGAAAATGTGTGGGATCCGACCCCAACATTTAGCCCCCAAGTCTTCCGAGCTGAGTGCTCGGCTTGGAAGACTTAAGTAAATAGTAATTAATGACTCGCGATCTTTAACATTCCGGAATTATTCCATGTTTTACGCTATTACGCCGATCTCGGATAATCAAACGATTTGATATCCCTGACAACCGTCATCATTAATTTTCTAATTTTATATTAATACTGCGGGGAAAACTGTCCCACTTCCCAATACTCTCGAGGCGGTTTTCCCCTAAATAAGGTTAAATGGAACGACGGCTTTTACAGTGTTCACTTACCTCTAACAGCTTTTACCAAACCGGAGAAAGAGAAATCTCTTAGTAAAAAATGTCTTTCCCAGCCGTCTACGTTTCAGACACCAAAGATGATAGTCAAGGAATCCCTGTTCCTATAGGGGACGAAGTCTTCACCCAAAGGGGAGACAAATTTGGTCCGCATTTCAGGTCTCAGTCGACCCCTACCTCCCTTGGTGCTCTTCGCCGCCTTTGTAACATCCCTCAAGAAATTGAATTCTCTCTTCCTAGACCCAACGAGTCTCTGGAAATGGTGCGAGAGGGTTACTGCTGTGCGTACGAAGTCTATTTCAAAGGCTGCGGTTTGTTTTTTCCCGTACCAGAAGTTCTTCTTTTGTACCTCCTTCATCTAGCGATTGCCTTTCCCCAAATGGCTCCCAACTTTCTTCGATATGTTCTGAGCACCCTGACCGTTTCGGCGGAAGCAGGGTTTTCCCTCACCACTAGCGAACTCTTAGGGCTATTTCGAGCCCGTGAATCCGCAGCAGCGGGTATTTTTTCTATGAACCCTATTCTTGACCGTAACCTAATCGACGGAATGCCCTCAAATGATGGGCCTTGGAGGAAATACTGGTTCTTTTTCCGAGTCAATCCCCATTCCGTTCAGGGTCTTTCCGGTCTTCTTCTCGCCAATTGGTCGGCTAAACTCGGTTAGAGAACCAACCTTTATTACTTTCCACTATATTGTGTAAAAGAAATAGAATTCTTAAATCAACACTTCGTTTCAGGGAACCAGACGATCCCCCGCCCTACTGTTGATTTCCTGTCTTTCTTTCGAATCGTTTTTGAGGGTGAGACAAATTGGAATTCCTTCACCCTTCAACGCATTCATGAAGCGTGGCTTGCCATCAAAGATGGTCAAACTCACCCCCTCGATCCTCCTCCCGAAGAGAAAGACGTCTCGAGCCTGAATGCTCGAGATAAAAGAAAAATGCAAGCCGAAAGCAAGGCTCTTAAGGATCAGCTATCCGAAATCGGGAGAAAGAAGCGGATAGCTGCAATCTCCAAGGTTGGTAACTTCCACAGGAAGACCCTCTTGGTTGATGACGGTTCATTAGAAGCGGCTCTGTCAGCCGCGGTGGATACTCATGGAGACGAGATTCTTAACGACCCTCCAGTCGCCACCGTAATTTGCCCTTCCGAACAAGGGCGAGAGGGAGAAGTAACTTCCTCACCTTGTACAAAGAGGAAGGCTCCAGATTCCGATACTTTATCAAACGAGAGACTTAAAACCCTGAGATTAAGTTCTCCGCCACGAGTCCCTAGCCCTCTGCATTCTGCTTTTCCCTCTTCAAAACCTTTAGAATCTGAGCTCCCTCTTCCGGGAGACAGAGTAATCTCAGAGGAAATCGATGAGCCGAGACCGGAGGCTCCCCTATCTCAAGGACTGAGTGTTAAGACTCAAAATCCTTTACCCGCTTCGATTTCAGGTAAGTTTTTACTTAGAAAGCGAGCATTAGCAAAACTTGTTACAGATTGCATCTATTTATTAATCTGCTATTCTCTTCTGCTTTGCAGGCGGAGAAGAGATTGGAGACATCTTCCGAAGTTTCCAAACCAGGGAAGGGGCGTCCCTTCCTCCTTCTTCGGTTTGGAGGCCGGAAATCCGTCAGATGTTCGCCAATCGAGCCTACTACCTATCACAGGTTCGGATCTTTTAGAGTATGACAACCTCCCTTCCTTAGGTAAAAGCTTTTTGTCTTAATGACACGTTTTTTTTTTACTCTGAAGGCGTTTATGGAGACTAATGGAATGATCTTCCATTATGAGAACCTTCTTCATCAAGCGAAGAGATAGACCGCAAAGGCTAAGAAGGAGGTTGATGAACTTAGATTAGCCAACCAATCTGAGCGACTTGAGCGGGAAAAAGCACTCGAGTCATCTTTTGAAAACATGAAGAAAACACTAGCAGCTAACGAGCAACGCATCAGAATTGCGAATGCTGAAAGAGATTCTGCGAGGTCCAATGCTCTTCGCTTGGAGGCTGAGCTAGAAGAGAATACGGCTTTGTTCGAAGAAGCGAATCAAGATATCGAGCTTTTAACTAGGAACAGGGCTCGCGATATCGCTGAAGCCGAACATAACGCTCGAGAAGAGATGAGGGGATTCGGTAGGTAACTTATTCAATCTGTTACGAAGTTCATCAAGGACGAAGAGGTCTGGACTAAACTTCTAACCGATCGAGCCGAACTGAAGAGCAATCTAGACCTGATTAAGGAACTAGAGACTGGAAGAGTTTCGTTCGAGAGTGAGAGAAGCGAAGCTGCTACCGAACTCGTTGTGGTTGAATCTGAGCTATCCTCGGCTTCCCGTCCTACTCTCGATCTGAAACAATTTTCTTTGGTATTTGGAGATTCTCCCTCTCAATTCGAGGTAGGCGAAGGTTCTCGGCCACACGAGGGTTCTCCTGAGGCAGAGGAACGCTCTTAAAGAATTGTTTTGTTGTATCCATGAGGACTAATCTGTTTGACGGAAATTTTTTGTTTTTGATTAATGTGATAGAACACCATTATGTATATATATATATATATATATATATATATATTTAAAAGTAAAATTTTTGGATGCGATTCTAGGTTTGCAAGTCCTCGCCCACCAAAGAGGTTTTATGAATTGTGAGAGGTGAGCTGATCAGGCTCACTTGCCTTTTTTAAAGAAAAAATCTTAATAAGTATTTTTCCTCGGTCTCTCGGGTGCGAGGATAGAGCTCGGCTTAAACTTTTTATCGAGGGATAAGGTTTTTACAATTCATGAGAATTTTGTCATAAGAATGACCAGGTAAAGGTTTCGATCATGGCCTAATAAATGGCTCCGGAAGTGTTGGGCGGATTTTCCCCCAAGAGAGTTATTCACCCCATGTTTTTCCATTTCCGAACGGGGAAAGAAAGGGTCCAATGTTATGACTTCCTGGAAAAGGTTCCCTTTCTGATTTTTAGTTTTTTTTTTTAGAGACTGTAAACTCTTTTTCGACCAGTTAACAAAATGTATGTTCAAACAGGTCGTCAGGAGACACAAAGCTTTATGTGATAAGAGAAAAAGAATCGGAAGAAGGAGCCGTGCTCTTGATGAGCGAATAAAGAGGATAGAAAGAGAGATCCTTTGCCTAGAATCCGAACCGCATGAATGGGAGAGGAACGGTTTAGATATCGTGACCATTATTCCCACTTGCCTCCGAAGGTTCCTTCGTATGTTGGATAAATTTTTTCATCTATCGTTGGCAACCGGCGACGGATCCTCTTTTGCTTCATGTTCTTCAGAATTTCGGAGATTTCCGATGTTAAGAACTGAAGAAAATGAAGGACCACAGGAGAAATCTACTGATCATCCTTCCTCAGAAAGCTGTTCGGGATCGTCCACTTCGCTAGAATCGTTATCGGGCGAAGACTTCTGATCGAACAAGTCCCTTGATTTATTTTTATTTTTTTATTACTATGAAACATACTGCTGGACTAGAGGCCCAGTAATATTAATTACATTCCCTTTTTGCTTTAAATTTGCCGATTTACTCAAATCATATTTAATGCGTTTATCTAGGGAATATAATTAGTAATTAACTCGATTACACTTTCCATAAAAGTAGTAATTTTAGATTTGGGAAATCGTCAATTAACCCTCTTAAATGTGGTCGAGTATATTTTGAATATAAAGCAGATGTAGATCGTTATTGAATTTAATCAACAATAATTCTACAAAAATGTTTGAGGAAGGTAATTTCTCAGAGAATCCCTCCGACTCGTTTAAAGTGATAAGTGATGATCTTCCGGTAACGTCGGACATCAATCTTGTAAAAACGGAAGCCAACGGCGAACCAGAAGAGTTACGCCCATTAGGGTGGGGAACCAACATTCAGGTTCCAAATGTGTTAATTGAGAGATTATCAGCTCAAGATCGTGTCAAGGCCGAGGAGTTTATTACCAAGGTACTGTTAAACCAAGTGATTTAACTCTTTTTATTATTGCTAAACGAAGCGTTTCATTTTCTTCAACTTATCATACGGCACGACGAGCTCGAAAATGAGAAACAAGAGATTAGGCAAAGGATCATGGAACTAGAGAAGCGTCGCCTCGACATTGCTCGCGAGCTTCAGCGCCTCGAAGCCCATCCTTCCGATTGGATCGAACTAGGACTTCAGGAGTACGGAAACATGCCAGGTTGTATTATGAGCATCGTTGACCTCGCAGGTCAAGGAGCAAAGTTATTCCGTAACTCTAGACCCTTCTAGATCTGGTTCTAGCTTATCTAGAAATATTTATTTATACATCGTTCGCAATGTATTTTTATATTCATGCTCGAATATTGAATTTATAAAATCAAGACTCCATGATTGGAATAATATTTTTTTTTTTTTTTTTTTTTGAATGTAATGTTAAATTAGATTCAAAAGAAAAATGTTCGTTTTTACATCGAGTGCATCGTGTGTTTGAGAAAACTTAAGGAAAACATGACTTTAGCAAACTTGATTTATAGACATTAACTCCTAGCCGCGAACCAGATTTGGAGACCCGTATCATATCTTCTGTCTCCGGTTGCTTTGATTGAGGAGAGCTGATTCTTGACTTGCTTATCTATCCATTTGATTAATCGAGCTGGAGGGTTCGAATCTTCACCATGTCTTCTTCCGTTTTGTTCCCGCCAAATAGCATGGATCGTTGCCTGGAAGATATAGCGAGCAAGGAAGCTTATGATTCTGTTCTGCCATTGACCAGACGTAGTGCCAATCAAATCGTGCCAGTTTGTGGAATATCTTGATCGGTAAATATTTTTTGCCAAGGCCTGCCATACTTCAGAGGAGAATCTGCAGGAAAAAAAGAGATGATCACGTGATTCAAAAATGTTGTTGCAGAGAACACATCCTGTGGAGAGACCTCTATTCCAATGTGTCATTTTGTCACCCGTTGATAAGCGGTTTTGAGCTGCTAACCAAACGCGAAAGGAAAATTTGGGCGTAGCATGAGCAAACCAAACGCTCTTGTGCCAAGCGACTTCATTTGAAACAGTCCGTGTAAGCTGCCAAGTGTCTTTGGTGGAGAATCTTGGCCGATAGAGATTGTTCTTGCCCTTCCAAAGGACAATGTCCTCTTCCTCTGCTCTGTTTCGCCGTGTAGAAAGCAATTCCCTCTCAATTTTATTATGAAGTTCAGCTCGATGCAGGCGATGTCTCCGGCCAACCCATGCCTCTGCAACTTTTTTATGTTTACTAATTCCCAAAACAATTTGGCCTCGTTCCCCTGCAGCATCAAACAACGGCCCCATAATTGACGAATTATCATACCAAAATGACGTTCTTTCTCCATTCTTTACATCAACTTTGAAGAAATCTCTTGCAACCTCTCTGAATTTTAATAGCTTTTTCCACATCCAAGAGCCTTGATACGTTTGCTTGACTGACCAAAATGTGTCTTGTTTAAGAAGATTGGTTTTTATCCACGTTACCCACAGCGAGTCCGCATGCGAGATTAATCTCCAGATTAATTTCAAGCAACAAACATCGTTTGCCTCATGGATAGATCTCAATCCAAGTCCCCCTTCATAACTATAACGAAGAGATAAGGGGATAGTGAACATCCTTGTCGCAGGCCACGTGAACTGTTGAAAAAACCCGCTAATTCTCCATTTACTTGGACCGAGAATGACGCTGTGGTAACGCAAAGCATAATCCAATGAACGAATTCCGGGGGGAAGTTTAAAGTTAAGAGGACATTTCTGAGGAAAGACCACTGAACAGAATCGAAAGCCTTGGAGATGTCGATTTTTATAGCGCAGCGTTCTGAAATTGACTCTTTGTGATAGTCCTTTACAATCTCCGTCGCAAGCAGCAGATTTTCTATCAATAAGCGATCTTTCACGAAAGCCGACTGATTTCCCGCGATAAACTGTGGGAGAACCATTTTAAGTCTATTTGCAATGATTTTCGTGATGGTTTTGTAGAGCACATTACAACATGAGATTGGCCTGTAATCTTTCATCTCCCTCGCTTCCAATTTCTTAGGGATAAGGGCAAGAATAGTAGAGTTAACTCCTTTTGGTAAGAAACCTTTTTCAAAAAAAGATTTCACAGCCACCACAAACTCCATACCGATAATGTCCCATGTTTCTTTATAAAATTCTGTGGTAAACCCATCTGGCCCCGGCGATTTATCATTAGGCATGGAGAATAACACCTCCTTGATTTCCATCTCTGTGATTGGTCTTATTAGTCTCTCCTTCTCATCATCGTTACACCGAAACGGTAACAAGTCAGCTAGGTCCTCCATTGTATAGCTAGACTCGTGTTTAGCGAGCTGCCTACGTACCCAAAATAGGATCAAGCCAAATCGTAGTTCGATTGTGTTTGCTTTAGCAATAGAACTTTTTCAAGTTGATGATGTTCCAAGGCCTTTGAACGGGGTTTCCGTCAAGGTTTTGTAAACGGTAAACACCATTTCGGATTTTTTCTGTGATTTGATAAGGGCCTTCCCAGTTAATACCGAGTTTCCAGCTCCTTCCTCTTTTGTGTTATCGAACACTCGTCTTAAATAAAGTCTCCTACATTTAAAGGTCTGTTTCTTAACTTCGAGTTATAGTACCGAGTGGTCGATTGTTGATAGTTTTGAAGTCGAATAAGGGATTGATCTCGCCTTTCATCGATTGTATCAAGAACGTCTTCTAATAATTTGGAATTTAGTTCTTCGTTAAGAGGAGCTTCGCTCCGGCGTAAACCAGGAACATTCAGCTCGGCTGGGACTACAGCTTCCATCCCATATACTAATGAGAATGGAGTTTCTCCTGTTGCTCGTCTCGGGGTTGTTCGGTATGCCCACAACACAGGTTGCAGCTCGTCATACCAACCACCTTTCCGAGCATTCAAACGCTTTTTAAGATTACTGAGAATGATTTTATTGGAAGCTTCCGCTTGCCCATTTCCTTGAGGATACCTCGGCGTTGAATAGCTAAGTTTTATTCCCCAAGCGGAACAAAAATCTTCAAATTCATTTGAAATGAATTCAGGACCGTTGTCCGATACTATTTCGTAAGGAACTCCATGACGACAAATAATGTGTTTCCACAAGAATGTTTTTACCATAGAATCTTGTATATTTACGTAGGCATCTGCTTCGATCCATTTGGAAAAATAGTCCGTTAGGACTAATAAGTATTGGACGCCTCGCGTTGAGTGATGCATCGGACCAACTATATCCATTGACCACCTCATAAAAGGGTATGGAGCGGATATGGATGATAAAATTTCAGATGGCTGGTGAATAAGAGGAGCGTGCATCTGACACTTTTTACACCGTTTGGCGTACTCGATGCAATCAGAAATCATAGTTGGCCAGAAATATCCTAACCGTTTGATTTTGAAAGCCATTGCTCGTCCCGAAGAATGACTACCACAAAGCCCTTCGTGGACCTTGCTTGTCACTATTTCAACCTCGGGTCCAAAAATACATAAACGATAGGGATCACTGACGCCTCGCTTGTACAACGACTCTTTAATTATACAATACTTAGCGCTGATGATTTTTAATTTGCGAGCTTGCCATTTGTTCGATGGTAGTTCTCCATTAAGAATGAAATTTTTGATTGGTACCCTCCAGTCAGCCCCCCAATCATTAGCGGAAGTATTATCCTTGAGTATAAACTTCCTTGGTTCGGGTTCAGAAGGAATATCAGGATCTTCGATTGTTTCCCAAACTTCTTCATCACCTGGAGGTGTCTGTTCAGTTCGAGACAGTTCTTTAGCAGGAACCTCTTGATCCTTCAATTTTCTTCTTGGCTTTCTTTTAGGAAGTTCCAGTGGTGAAGTAAGTTCATCATCCTGAGATTTTACTCGTGACCTGGTGACAACAAACGAACTATTTTCATTTCCGGAACTTAATTTTGGAGTTTCCATATGCTCGTCCCCCAAAATGTTATCGTTTTTTGTTTCTTTAACCGAAATACTTCGCGAAGAAATACATTTAACAGGGATAACTCGTTTGAGCTCGGGATCTGAGGTAGATGCTAGGTCAGCTAAAGCGTCTGCCGAAGTGTTTTCTCCTCGAGGTATTCGAACTAATTCAAATTCATTGAATTTTCCGGCTAATTTTTTGACAGCCGAAAGATAGGCTTCCATTCGAGGAGCCTGAGCTTCGTAATCCCCAACGAACTGGTTCACAACTAGCTGAGAATCACAATAAGCTATTATTTTTTCTGCTCCAATTGCAAGAGCAAGCCGAAGTCTTGCTAAGAGAGCATCGTATTCTGCTTCATTATTCGAAGCCGGAAATATTAATCGAAATGACTGTTCGATTATTTCCTTTGTCGGAGTCTCGAGCCTAATACCGATTCCGGATCCTTGTTTAGAAAAAGAGCCATCTACATGTAATTTCCATGTAGAGTCTGTTTCAATAAGGATTCCATCATCTAGTGGTAGATCGGTAAGAAAATCAGCCAGAACTTGTGCTTTTGCGCTAGTTCAACTTTTGTACTCTATATCGTACTCACTGAGCTCGATTGCCCATTTCGCCAATCTACCGGACTGACTCGGTCCGTGAAGAATTGAGCGAAGCGGATGAGAAGTTAAAACTTCTATCGGATGAGATTAGAAATAAGGTCTGGCTTTCTTGCAGATATCACTACTGCTAAAGCTAACTTTTCCATCATGGTATATCTCATTTCCGGACTAGTAAGAGATTTACTTATGTAGAAAATCGGCTTCTGATCACCTCGATCCTCTCGAACTAAAACCCCACTTATAGAATGACTGGAAACCGAGACATAAAGATAAAGTTTCTCATCTGATTCGGGTTTTGAGAGAACCGGTGGTGTCGTCAGATAAGTTTTTAGTTGATCGAAAGCTGCTTCGCATTGATCATCCCACCAAAATTTTTTGTTCCCTTTTAAAATCTGGTAAAAGGGGAGACATATATCGGTAGATTTCGAGATGAAACGATTCAACGCAGCAATTCTGCCCGTCAATCACTGGACCTCTTTGATGTTTTTTGGTGAAGGCATTGTGAGGAAGGCATTAATCTGATTAGGATTAGCTTCTATTCCTCTTTCTATAACTATGTAGCCTAGGAATTCTCTGGAAGGCACACCAAAAGAACATTTAGCAGGATTTAATTTCATCCTGAATTCATTCAGAATTTTGAAACATTGCTCAAGATGTGTGATGTGCTCGGATTTCTTAAGAGATTTTACGAGCATATCATCGATATAAACTTCCATCGTTCTGCCCAAATGTTTTGAAAACATTTTGTTAACTAAACGTTGGTATGTTGCCCCGGTATTTTTTAGACCGAATGGCATAACTTTATAACAGTAGATTCCTCTATCTGTTATGAAAGATGTTTTCTCTTCATCTTCGGGATTCATCATGATCTGATTATACCCAGAAAATGCATCCATGAATGTCAATAGTTCGTTTCCGGTTGTCGATTCTACGAGCCGATCGATATGAGGGAGAGGAAAACTGTCTTTTGGACACGCTTTGTTAATGTCAGTGAAATCGACACATACTCTCCACTTTCCATTTTTCTTTTTAAATACCACGGGGTTTGCTAACCAATCCGGGTATTTTACTTCTCTAATCGAACCAATTTTCAAAAGCTTATCGACTTCGTCATTGACCGCTTGAGATCGGTCAAGACCCAAGTTTTCTTCTTTTTTGCTTTATTGGTTTAAAACTGGAATCGACATTTAAGTCATGGGTAATGATACTTTTGTCGATACCAGGCATATCCTTGGCCGACCAGGCAAAAGTATGTTTATTTTCTTTTAGAAATGTTACCAATTGATCTTTGATTTCTGAATCCAAAGTAGTTCCGATTTTTACTTTTCGATCTGGAAATTCGGGATCAATTTCAATTTATGTGGTAAGTTCACTCGAACTGAGACCACTTGGGTAACGCAAGGTGCTTTCTTGTTTAGCATTTATCATTAATTGCTATTTGAGCTTTAAACGATGTCCCATGAGGTAGCAAGATCGCGACGTTTCCTGATCCCCTCGAATGGTTCCAATTCCCTTGGGAGTCGGAAATTTCACACATTGGTGATAGTTTGAAGGTATAGCCTTCATTTGGTATATCCACGGAGTTCCGAGAATTATATTGTAAGCCGCCGGACGATCGAAAACAATAAATTCTACGATTTTTGGAACCCCTGCTGCGAGCACTGGTAGTTTTATGTTTCCTAAGGACATAGATGTGTCGCTTGTGAAAGCTACTAATGGCGCTGGTGGACCGATAATGTCGGCTTTACTGATTCCCATTCTTTGCAAAGTGCTTAGAAATATGAGATCTACCGAGTTTCCTGTATCAATTAGACACCGTGTCACTTCGAAGTTCGCAACATCTAAAGTTATTACAAGAGCATCATCATGAGGTCCTGTTAATCCTTGAGTGTCCGAATTATCAAAGGAGATAGAAGGTATTTGTTCATTTGACTGAAAACCTACAACGGTTTGAATTGTTGCTGATTTCTTATGCCTTTTGATTGATCTGATCGAATCTCAGCATAATTTGGATCCTCCCATTATAACATCGATCCTTTTCTTAGGAGTGTTCGGAGTTCCTGGCCCATTGGGCTTATGTTTCTTTTCAGGAGGATTAGAGGCTTCGGAATCTTCTTTTTCTTTGTGGTATGATTCCACAAATTCCTCGATATTGAAATTAGCGAGCTCTCCAGCTGCCCACAGTTCGGTGAGGTGCTTTTTGAGTACGCTGCAATCTTTGGTGGAGTGCCCGTTTACTTTATGAATATCGCAATAGGCACTTTCATCTCTAACCCAAGTATTAGGAGGATTGTATCTTCCTCTACTTGAGGAAGGTTTTCCTATAGTATTAGTAGCAGGATTAACTCCGAACCGTTTATGATCTTTTGGTTCGAACTTATTTTAGGGTTCAAATTATGTTTAAAGAAATTTCAAAACCATTAGTTAACATCATATATTTATAACTAAATAGTTTTTGGAAAGATTAATTTATATGTAAATAATAAATAGTTTTACATATTTTTTATTATTATACATATATAATGGTTATATTTTGGTTGAATGGTTTACATTTAATTTATATATATATGCATTACAAGAGTTAAAAATTTAAGGTTTAGGGTTTGGAGGTTAACTTTAGGGTTTGAAGTATAGGATTTGGGATTTAGGTTTAAAATTTGGGGTTAAGAGTAATAGACATCAGTTTTTGGATATATTATAGTAAGTAGATAGTTTTTTGAGTTTAGAGATTTAGAGTTTTGTGTTTTAGGTTTAGAGAAATGGGTGAATTTTGATTATATAGATATTTATGGCGACTAATTAGCGACTACAAAGCTACCAAATGGCAACTACGCTTTATATTCGCATAAAACCGGTATACCAACACCAAAACGGTTAACACGTGTTTATTAGTCACCAAATTAACGACTATTTTGCGTCTATTAGTTTTCGTATGCAATATAGTCATAAAATAGTCGCTAAATTACGACTAAATTACCGATTACTGTCTTTGGTCGTAAAAAAGCGACTAATAGACGACTAAATATTTGTAGTCGTAAAATAGTCGCCGAATAGTCGATATGTAGTCGTCAATTTTGGCGACTACTTATGTAGTCGCCAGATGTAATCGGGAAAACCATGTTTTCTTGTAGTGGCGCTCGAAAATCATTTTGGAGGCAAAACACTAAGCCAAAACTCAGTTTTTTCCGCCACTCGCACTCTTGCCAAAACTCTTAGACAAAAGCAAACACTTAGGTCATTTTTCTCTGAAAATCTAAACCTCTGTCTCCACCACGATTCCCTTTTCCGGTCACCACAAAACCCATTTCCTCTCATTCCTCAACCTACGTCGCCTCGATTTCCGTCGATTTCAGTCATTTCTCAACCTAGCTCCATCGCTTTGATCTACCTGGGTTCGAAAAGGAATCAGCCCTCCTCCTGCCTGAGCTGGTGTTGTCTCCGTCGCTCTAGTCCACCCTGAGGATTTCGAATAAGAAACCCAGAAAAGGTAATCAATTTACGATTCCTCGAGTAATGAACTCCAGATTTGATCGTCATTCTCAGTGTCTTCGATTTCTCTAATTACTTTCCATTAACTCTTATTGCAGCAAGAATCGAAGCCCTAGAGATATGATTGAGGACCTAACACGAACATAAGCAAGAGAATCAATCTGCTTTACAATCTTCAGGTTATCGACTTTCGAGATATGGTTCTTATCTTATTTGAAATCTGTTTTTGTGTTTTTTTTTATTACAATAGAAATCGACACATTCATGTTATTAGTTTGCAGGTTGGATCTTGTTGCTATTAGTTTGTTGGATCTCGTTTCTTTTTGGGGTGAAGATGACTGTTTAATCTTGTTAATGTGAATGTCAATGTGTTTGTTTGGTGTTTGAGTTATTCTTATGGGTAATAACTTATAATGGTCGAAAAGTCATGAGTTCATCTTAACAGGTATGTGAAAACAATATATAGTTAAGGGTTTAATGAGGGATTAATAGAATTTAACGTTTCTCATTAAGAGAGTTTGGTTTCTCTATGAGATCCCATTTTTGTTTGTTTTATGTAATGAAAGAGACAGAGACACCAATTGTGTTCTTCTGTTTAGAGATTTATGTTTTCAGACAGAATTTTTTGGTTTGGCCCATTGAAGAACTTGCTTTAAATCACGAGCCAACTTTTTTATTCATCAATATGTCAAATCAATCCTTTAATCCAATTTTTTTTCGAGTCATCTGCAATTTTGCATTATCATCTTTTGATATTGACTGATGAATAAAGAAGTTTATATAATTTGATCATCATAGTAACATTCAGTACATCAAATCTTTTACAAATCTTTTAATCATGAACATTCAGTATAGAATTGTCATTTCTGTTCATGAATAGGAGTTTTCCAAATATTTTTTATCGGTTTATTATGTGGCTTGTTTGTGGGTTTCATTGTTTCTGACTTTAAGTTCTTGATTGGTTTATTACATGACTATTTAATCTTGTTAGTGTAAATTTCAATGTCTTTGTTTGGTGTTTGAGTTATTCTTATGGGTTTGTTATGTTTTGCTCATGGGTAAGAATATATAATGGTCGAAAAGTCATGTGTTCATCTTAACAGGTATGTGAAAACAATACATAGTTAAAGGTTTAATGAGGGATTAAGAGAATTTAACGATTCTCATTATTTTTTTGCTTTCATCTTACTTTACTAAAGAACTGATCTTGGTTATGAGAGAGGTACTTGGGATTTTGTGCGGTCTGTGGCTGCAGCTTAAGGAGAAATTAAGATGATTATTGGCCCTTGCATTGACTGTCGCAACATGGTACCGGTAATGGTGAGCTTTGTAGTTATTAATTTGCTCGTACTTTGATTTTACATGTGGGAAAATATGTCATACTAAGCTAAGATATTTTTTTCAGGAGTGAAGTCAATTACTTATTCTGAATTGATGGATGAAGTATGTTTATTGCTTTTAAGTTTAGCCGGCTATGTTTGAGAACTTGATCTGTTTAAGACATGACTTTGTGTTTTGTTTATGACTTGGTATTTTAATGGAGAAGCATTGGTATTTTATGAATTTTTAATGGAGAAGCATTGGTATTTTATGAATTTTTGTTTCTTGTCAAAGTATCACAATAGATTTTATGAATCCCAAAATTGATTATGGTGAATAGGTGCATAATTTTGACAGCCACCAATGTAACGAAACAATATTCAACGACATTTTATCTGTGTTATTATAAAATATTTTACGACACTAAAACAAAGCCATGAAAGAGTACATAATAGCACGAAACAAGTGCTAAGAAAATATATCCTATAGCAAACGATTATCGCTATAATAGGTTCATCTAGCGTAGCATTCAAAAAAATGCTATCATATGGGGTGAGGCTATTATAGCTCCTCATGTCATAGCGTTCATGAAAATGCTACAAAATCGATATAGTAGCGTTTTCAATGTACTACCAATGGCTAAATTTCTTGTAGTGAGAGGTTCGGGTAATACTATGCATTTTTTGTTATTTGCCTCTGGATCATGGACCAATCTTCTTGTGTAGGATCCTCAGATTTCCTACTCACATAACTGTGAACATGCAGTTATCAAGTCTTAGGAACAACTATATTAGATGTGATCTAACATTTCCGACGTTTAGAGTCTCAGCTTTGAGATTTTCTTCAGCCACGGCTTAAATTCTATTCTTACACACATATATTTGAGTAAGATTTCTATTTGAAAAATCTGATTTTTTAATCTACAAGTGAATTAGTAATGTTCAATCTAATTTTTAGAGTTCACAAGTGTTACTTTGTTCATTCTTTAGTAGGAGTGGCTTTGATTCTTGGCTGATGTATTTCAAAGTTGTATTTTTTTATTATCTTTAAATAGACAACTACCAATAAATTATTTTTTATGGCAAGCGTATTATAATTTGGTCTATTTTTTAAAAATTTTCCCCACATTTCCTCAATCTTAAGGAATGCTTCTAATATGAGTTGTTTCTGAAACTATCTTCTATATACGCATTTAGTGTTAGATTGCATGGGTTCGACGTTAAGAGGGAGAATCCGAGGAGGTGGTGGAAGTAAAGGGAGATGATGGTTGTGGTGATGATGATGTAAAGTGTAAACGACTTTTTTCAGGTGATATTTTAGCAACGGCCAAAAATGTAAGCGTAAGGATTATAGTCACATAGGATTATATCGTTTCTCTGAATATATTCTAATATATTTTAAGTTTTTTAACTTGCAAAACTCACATCATTTCTTGGTTTTGTTGTTTTAAAGTTTAAGTTAAAATGTGTCTGATCATTTTTTTTTTTTTTTTTTTTCGTCGAAAATGAAACTTTATTGATTAATCATTATCCAAGGAATACAAATGACAGGCTTAGCCATGGAGGTGGTTTATCATTATCCGAGTAAAAAGATGAATTTAAACAACCTAACTTCGCTAAATGATGAGCTGCAGAATTATTACAATGTTTGGTAAAAAGGAAATGAACATGCGGAAACTTCTTCGACCAGAAAGTGATATCTTGACAAAGTCTCAAAATTGAGATATCATGATTTGAGTGAGTAATCATCTTTATCAATCCTTCACAATCCCCTTCGAAAATCACTGCGTTGTATCCTCTGATCCAACTCTGTTGCACCGCAGCCAGGAGGGCTTTTGCTTCCGCTTCCAATGGTGTCTGAGCAGGGTGTTGGTGTCGGATCCCGCACGGGTGGTTCGGGACCAACCAAAGATTGCCACATAGGCAGGATAGAAGCCCACAAAGGATAAGGCCCGTTAGACTTATAAGCCCAAGAACATGGTCGAAGTGATTGCACCTCGAGATAAGGGCGAAGTCGAAGTCAAGATTAGTTTGGTTCGGGACTTTTTGGGCTAAAGGGCGAAGCCCATGAAGTTCGGAGTTAATTCAAATTCAAACGTTCGAACATTAAACTCGAAGACTGTAACGGACACATTAAAGAGAGAATAATTGTATTTAATTAGGAGTTAAATGTCTTCGTTAGTATAAGTAAGAGGGCCAAGAGCCATGTAAAAAACACGCAATTTTTCTAGCAAATACACTATAGCCATTTCTATAGCAATTGACAGCTTTTTGTACATTAATTTTTGTCCTCAAGAATAATCTTTCCCACTAAATAAACAAGTATTTGAGTGTGTGAATCCGACGTCCACATTTTGGCACCGTGTGTGGGGAATCTAGAGAGTTCTTGAGTTATCAGATTTTCTTCATTACATTTCCGAGACAAGCAGCAATGTCTTGAGGAAACACCCCTGACATGTCAATGGCTGAAACTCTCAAGGCAATGCAGCAAACCATGTCGGAAATATCACAGAAGTTCTCGGATGTGGAGAAGGCTGTAGACACATTAAAAACAACCCAGGTATATCTTAGTCAAGACGTCAATACTATACAATCTCGTGTTCGTTCTCTGAGTGCAGGAAACTCGGTGGGAGTCCGAAGAAGGATGTTTAATTCGCCAAGCTCCCTTGTGCGAAATGAAACCAATGAACAAACAACTCCTGATACGGCAATTCAGCCGACAGACGGAGAGACGCAGCTCGGAGATGAAGATCAGCTTGTAGATCAGTACGAGCAAGAAAGCCTCGACCAGTTCGAGACCATGAGAAAGGTCAGCCAGGAACTAAAAGAAATGAAGTCAAAGTTCCACCAGGCCACTAGTTCGGAACCAGATATCAACCGAGTCATTGAAGAAGCTAGGCGAACACCTTTCATCCCGCGAATCGCAAATTTGAGAATCAAAGATTCTCGGAAGCTCAAACTAGATCCCTACAGTGGACTGGAAGATCCAAAGAGCAATCTCGCAGCCTTTTTGATTGCCGCTGGAAGAGTCGAATTGGATGAAGCTGATGAGGATGCAGGATACTGCAAACTCTTTTCGGAAAATCTTTGCGGTCAAGCACTAATGTGGTTCACCCAGCTAGAACCAAGTTCAATCAACAATTTTGACGAATTATCGGCTGTGTTCTTGAAACAATATTCTATCCTTATGGATAAAAGCGTTTCGGATGCTGACCTTTGGAACCTGTCACAAGGGCCGAATGAATCACTTTATCGGATGCTAATCACTCGGGTTTTCATCACCAAGTTCAAGGGGGTGCTATCAAAACTCCCAAGAATTTCGCAGCAGTCAGCTTTATCTGCCCTACGAAAAGGTTTGTGGCATGATTCAAGGTTTAAAGAAGATCTAATACTTCACAAACCAGACACGATTCAAGACGCACTTTTCCGTGCAAACAATTGGATGGAAGTAGAAGACAAAAAAGAGAGTTTTACGAAAAGGAACAAACAAGCGAAACCAACGATCACCTTCCCTACCAAAAAGTTTGAGTCTAGGGAAAACCAAGGACCAAAAAAGTTTGGATCGCAACCCCTCAACAATATCGTCGGAAAGCAATTCCAAGGAAAAGGAAGGTCAAACACTTGGATCCTTGACAAAAGTTTGTATTGTGACATCCATAAGGTAACCGGACACTTAACCAAAGATTGTAGTGTCCTCAAAAAGCATCTTGCAGAACTTTGGGCCAGTGGAGATCTTTCCAAATTCAAGATGGAAGATTTCGTGAAGGAATACCACGAGGCAAAAGATAACACCAAAGATCAGAACTCCAAAAGACCAAGATTGTCCAATGAAGAAGAACCTAGGAGTTCGAAAGGAAATATCAATGTAATCATTAGAGGTTCCAAACTTTGCCGGGATACGATCAGTGCCATAAAGAAGCATAGACGAAATGTTTCACTTAAAGCAAGCTTGGGCGAAGAAGTTGACTCTCAAGGTGCGTCAATATCATTCGACGAAGAAGAAACACGTCACCTCGAAAG